TAATGTGTTGTGCCCTTTTGTAAATTCCAATACTGATCAAAACCAAAAGTAGGTTTACACTTTTCTTTTTACCTGCTATCTATAGTCCCTGCTAGTGTCCAATTTAAGTGATGAAGTCTATAATTTGTGTTGTGACTTAGACTAGACAAAATTTACTTTGGCTACCAGGAAAAGCTGTTTATTTTATATAGTTAATTCCAAAATTTTATATTAAAAGTGTCAGTGTTTCAAATTTGTTTGGAACCTTAACTTGTTTATAATTTTCTTAGTTTAAAATCTTATTTAGCTTTTTGCCATTTTTTTTTCAAATTCTTTAAGTTCCTAAACTTATAGTTAATTTTTCCTTTGTTCAGAAATAAGATAGACTTATTAGATGGCTTTTCAAGCTTGTTGTTCTTGAAGTTCTCTAATAGTTTAAAATAGATAAATAAACAATTTCCAAAAGTGATGAGAAATTAGGGTTAGCAAACTTTGTGTCTTTTAAAAGACTCTGTCATGTTCGTGATTTTGACAAATCTCTTCATCACCCAGGGCTCAAACCTGGGGAAACCATATCCTGCAGTTTCCTTACAAGCCTTCTGGAATATATGTGGGTGGTTTTCTGTTCTCTCCTTATCTGAAAAGGTTCTGAAGAACTGGTTAACTCACTGCTTCTTCAGTTTTTGCCATGGTCATTGTAGCTTGACATGCTCCCCCTGAAAGTCTGGTAGAACGCTAATCTCAATTCCAGAAACATTTGGGTTCAATTCCTGAAATCTCTTAATAAAAAGTGTCAAGAAAAAAGAAGGGAAGGATCCCTAGCTGAATTGCTTGAAGCTGATGACAATCAAAACAAACAATGCATTTGTTTATTCTAAGGAATCCATCAAAGTTGATTCAGCATCACTTTTTCCAATTTTTCAAAATATTGCTGACTTTCTGTAACACCTTAATACTGTATATACCCAGGTTGCAGACAAGTTCAATATCACTTGGAAGGAACTTCTACAAAGCCACAATATTGAAGTTATGGTAGTTCAGCTGGCTCAGTGACAAGCAATGACAACTAAAACACTATGTACTTTATCTGCTTAAAAGCAAGACCACCTGTGCTATTCCATATAAAGAGGCAAATTGAGAAAGCTAGTTCAATTCCAGGAAATAAAAGGCAAAAAAGCAAAATCCAGCATACCCTGTGAAATGTGGCTAGCAGATCAATAACAATCACAGACAGAATGGGAGGCTCTGCTTGTGCTTTGGGTAATTGGTGGGGTGGGGGTGGGGGATCATGAAATTTATAACCCTATTTCTCCCTCTAATTATAGCCACATTACATTTTCCATTCATTGCTTGGAATACTGTATTCAGTTTTGGTCACCATGATGTAAAAAAGATGTTGAGACTCTAGTAGGAAGAGTGCAGAGAAGAGCAACAAAGATGATCAGAGGACTAGAGACTAAAACATATAAAGAGCAGGTGCTGCAATTGGGTATGTCTAACTTAATCAAAAGAAGTCTACGGGTGACATGATAGCAGTGTTCCAATATCTTAGAGGTTACCACAAAGAAGAGGGAGTCAACCTATTCTCCAAAGCACCTGAGGGCAGGCCAAGAAGCAATGGATGGAAACTAATCAAGGAGAGAAGCAACCTAGAACTAAGAAGACATTTCCTGATAGTTAGAACAATTAATCAGTGAAACAACTTGCCTCCAGAAGTTGTGAATGCTCCAACACTGGAAGTTTTTAAAGAAGAGATTGGACAACCATCTGTCTGAAATGATATAGGGTTTCCTGCCTAAGCAGGGGGTTGGACTAGAAGACCTCCAAAGTCCCTTCCAACTCCTATTCTGTTCTGTTCTATTCTATTCTATTCTATTCTATTCTATTCTATTCTATTCTATTCTATTCTATTCTATTCTATTCTATTGAGTTTGCAACCTTAAAGTAGACAGTCTCTCTCTCCCCCCTCCCCCTCCGTCCCTAGACTCCAATTATGTTCAAACCTGTGCATTATTCTTGGCCAGGTTAATACTTGTCTCTCCTCACCCCACAGTTAATTCTGAAGATCGTGCCTCTTGCCTACATCTAATATAAAACTTGTCTCATTGGAGGCCCAAAGTTTCTCAATACTGTATAATCAATTCACATATTTGCAGTTATGAATCACCAAGCTCCAAGTAACCAAAATGTTTAAGGATGTCTAAACCAATTCTTCATTTTCATCACTATCCTTGATGTCATCCAAAGCTAAACCAGTCCACCTTAGCCAGATCATCACACCTCTGGAAAGGTATGTCTTTTAATTCCCCCCCCCCAGATCTTCAATCAGCAACTGCAAGCTGGGGGGCCAGTAAGGAATCATGGTGACCCAGAAGACCAAGATGTTCATTCAGGGGAAAAAAAAAAGGTAACCTGGGGAGGAGGTAAGCTTTGGCAAAGTGGTAGAATCATTTGAACCTGGGTTTGGCCAAGTCAGATGTCCAAGCCCAGGACTGTCTATACTAGAGAGAAGGCCATCCAGATTTTCTTGAAATACAACTCCCAACATCCAACTCTTTTAACTGTACTTGAATGTAAGGATAAAATTTAGAATTTTCTGTTCTCTGATTAAAGAAGCAATGCCTCTTTGCCAGGGCAGTCTTGATTTCTTCAGGTAGAAGAATGGCATCTAAAGCAGGCTTAGGACTTTGATTTCTCGTAGGTCTACCTGTAGATGAAAGCACTGAGGAGATTTTAGTCTCTTCTGTTCTAAAGATCAGCTTTTATTAGCTTCTCTCAAAAACTCTCCTCAGGGATACTTCCCAGAAAAAAACAGTCTCTGAGCTAACCCTTGTTGACAGTGACTGCTTGTGCAGGAAAGCTGGTGAAGTGAAAAGATGGAGAAACCTGCCACAGCTGACTCTCCATCGTCAGTTCTTATGCAGGAAAACCAAAGCTGCAGGCTATATGCCAGAAGAAGGTAGTGACAAATAATTTCCATAGACTTATGAAGAAAATGGCATGGACGTATTTATGAGGTTATAAAAAGTCAAGCTCAACTCAAAGGAGACTTTAACTCCTTTTTTTTAAAGCTTAGAAGACAGAACGAATATACCAGCAACAGCATTAGTCCTGTTCCAAATGCAGGCTCAAGCTATCCTGAGCAATTTGGTTTTGCTGCCTTCCTCCAACAAGTGCTGTTGCTTAAAGGTCCAAAACAGATTGCAATTCCTAAAGATGACCTAATCCATACAGGTCACGGTTGCTCAGAGAAGGCACATGCCAAGCATAGGATAGCAAGTTCTATCCACTGAAGTGGATCAATGAGCTAAAAGAAAAAGAAAAATGAGTTGAAAAAAAAATAACTTTACTCTTTGTCCCAAGAGCTGGAGGGCAGGGCAGGAGAACAGGGACGGCTGCAGATTATAGAGGTGTTAATTCAATACCACTGGAGGGAGTCAAGGTTATTTTTTTTCCCAACTATTCCCATATGGCTTCCTGTGTATCCATTTTGAAGCTAAGTACACGTAACAGAATCAAGCTCATTAGAACCTAATAATGAAATTAAACAAATCTAAAACAATCAATATGTAGCATAATGAAAAGAGAGTGAAAAGGGGATTAAGGAAGAAGACTACTCTGTTCCCTTTTAAAGAGCTTCCAACAGGAGACAAGACTATCAGTAAATCAGAAAAAAAGGCAGCCTGGATTTATAAGCAGCAGCTTCATCTGCAGGGGAAGCTCCTCACAGCAGGGACATGGGCACAGATCATTTTCTCTCTTTCCAGAGGATGGTACTATGGAAAGTAGTAGAGGAGGAGGAGGAGTAGAGGGAAAGCAAGAGGTCAAATGAATTTGAAAAAAACAATGACAGTTCTGGGCCAGAAACAGTGGGAGCTCAGAATTCTGAATACTTGCAATAACTGTAGAAGAGGGGAATTTGGCTACAATCACAGAACATGTAAGCTCCGATTGAATTCTTCTGATCGAATGTAAGCAGCCTGCTGCATTTGACAGCCCCAACCCTTTAACATGTCACAGTCTCCCTTCCTCCTGCAACCTAGAAGAAACTCATCTGACTAGCTATTCCCTGCTTACAGTGTTGGCAAAGCATCCTACGGTAATATATCAAGGCAAGATTGTCTCTCCAAAGTGAGCTCCAATTTCCCACAGTATACCTGTACCGACATACAGGCGTCCCAAGCAATCTGTGATTCTAGTCCATTTTGCCCAGCTTTGTCTTTAACCAGGTCACAAGCCTAGCACTGAACTTTGGTTAATCTTAAGGAGTTGAGTGGTTGAGTTAGTTAACTGATTATTGCGTGAATCCAGAGAATGAGTTAACTTGTCACGTTGCCTTCTTGGGCCTTTGGGTGAGTGTAAGGAAAGGGAGCATCAGAATAGGAGACAATGGTTAACCCAGATAAAACGCCAGGGAAGACTGCAGTTGGAGAAAGACCTCTACAAAAAGGTCCCATCACCGGCAGAGCTTAAGCCGGACTCTCAATCATTGATCCTAACCAAGATGGCAATGTCACCTCCAATGTTTTCTAAGCTAATAGTTGGGGAACACGACGAGAGGCTATTGTAGCAGATTCTGCTAAGCGGGTCTTTCTGGGGGAAACTAGCAGATTTGGAGACAATTCACGTGCTAAAACCAAAACTGAGGTTCTTGAAATCCACCAGAGATCACACACGCTAGGAATGCAGATACTTTAAATCTGGTGATAAAATAGTTCTGAGGAATGGGGAGATGGTGTTCCGCATGTTCCCGGCATCTGTCCTTAGCACGCTTCCTTAACAATGTATCTCATTGAAATATGTAGGAAAATGCGTGCTTAGGGGGGACCAGGCGTTACACGACTACTTCAGAATGATGCCCCGAGATTACAAAGCCTATCTAGAAAAAGATATCCGAGTCCAGATTAATCATTCGGGCTGAGGTTTACTTTCCATTCAACTTGCCATTGGGGCAAAGGGAGGATATATTCTCCCCCCCCCCACACCCCAAAAAAGTAGGCGCTCCCGACGTTCCTACCAACCTGCTCTGCTGCCTCTGGGTCGAGATGAGGCTCCAGCAATGGGACCGTAAATTGGATCTTACGGGGACTGTTTGGTTCCATGCCGGCTCCGTCGTCCCGGGAATCGATGGCGCTCACACAGCCGCGCTCGATAATAATCTACCTTTGCTCGCTCTTCCCTTCGCCCGTCCGGTCTGCGGGCTTTCCCACCCAGGGCGCTCGCACCCTCCCTCCTTCCCCGCGAACGGCTCTGCGATTGGCTGCTCAGGATGTCCGCCTCTCCCCTCCCTGCGAGATAAGTGCGCGCGCGCGCGCGCTCGGCCCCTGAGGGAGCCGGGCTGTAGAGCGGGGCTGAGCTATGCTCGCACAAAGACGACGAGCGCCGAGAGAAAGCCGCGGACGCGCAGAGCTCCAGCCTCCAAGTCTTCACACCTGCTTTGCTTCTTGACCTATTTACCTAAGAGTAAGCCTCACTGCAATCAGAGAGACTTACTCTGAGTCGCCGCATACCGGGTGGCTTTGCAATTGTAAATGAAGTGTTCTGAGCTTCCATGTGCTTTGGGTTTTTTTTTTTTTAACGCAATCTCAGTTACTTAGCAGGATCTGCCTCCTGATAAGACAAAATCTCCCAAGCCTGCTTCTGCTGATTCGTCCCTGAGCCACACTCTCTAAGGAAACGCGAGATTCCTCCGCGCTATCGGTCCAAACCTTCCCTTGTTCCACCCCTGATTAAGCAAAACACGGACTTGACCGTACGCTTAATCGCTCCCCCCCCCCACCACGTACACTTTCATTGCAATATAGCAAGTTGGCACATTTGACTAGCTAAGTGAAGCAGTGAGAAGGCTGGCAAAAGACAACGTGAGACATCTTGAGAGCAGCAATACCGTGAATGGGGCAATAGCGGAGAACAGACGGAAGGAGCCGCGTCGATCTGGATACCCCACCCCCACCCCTTTCTCTGCTAATGCTTAGGATCGCAGTGAGACTTTCAGGCAAAAGTGCTGTTTAACTGAGGCAACTGCTGATGCAGGGTATAGAGTTGTAAATGTGTGAATATGGTTGTGTCTTTATGGTTTAGATTCAACGTAAATTAGAGAGGAATCTCTAGAGTAGGTGGCATACAAAGGTACCTATGTCTGAATAAATACTAGAGAAGGAAGAAGGAAGGCATTGGAAATATCTTTCACAATCTGACATTTAACAATTATATTCCCACCATCCTATAATGGTAGTGTTCTCTGGGAATAATGGAAGTTAATAGCTTAATGTGGGTTCCAAATTGTATTAGAACTCCCCAAATCCAGAAGTAACATATTAGAAAAGGACTAGAGGTTGAGGAAGGTTACCCATAATTAATATTCTTGAACACACCAGAAAAACATGCTAAGGGCAAAAAAACAGCTTGATTGAAACTGAAATAAGAACCAGGATAAAACAATGTTTTTAGACAAGCATACAAACCTCATTTTTATTACACTTTATATATGCATCAGGTCTATTGAAAGGTTCTGTATTGGAGATCTACAAACTCTGCTTACATTGAATGCTGCAGTGAAGAGAACATATTAGAACAACACACCTGCAGGAAGTAGTGTGTTGGGCTTTAATTTTCCAGGGAAACACAGGGAAGTTGCAGTCTGTGCAATTTTTACTAGTATTATTAAAAAACATGATGTTGCAGCCATCAAGTGACAGGTACACATATATCAACAGTATGATGGTTCAGAGAATGTGGTTTGGAATTTGTTTCTGATCTCTTGTCTGCCAGCCACCAAGGCTGCCAAAACAATATTTCAGCAGGTGTACCGTGTAGGCTTCAAAAAGTAGTTTCATGAGGGCATGGGGTCAGCCCTTAAAAGTTTATGCCTTTAAGCCCTATCGTAAATATGAAAGGCAATACAGTGGCAATAATGTCAATAAACTTATCAATGTCCTTTTTGAAACAACAGGCTTTTTTCTTCAGACAGGGAAGGATTGAAGTTAAGACAGGATGAGAATAGTTCTGTTATGGCACTATTTATTTGCATGCTGTTAAAGCTAAACAAGTCCGGGATAGTCAAGGAAGCTTCTCTGATAAAAGAAATAATATCAAATCACTAAACAAAAACTGAATTTACTTCTGATCAGTTGCCTAGGTCACTACAGATATTGGGAAGGCATACAAATTGATAAATAAAGGCAAATTGGGAAAATGTATAGGACTGAGCATTAATAACTAGAAAAGGAAAAGAAAAAATTCTCAAATTTAACTTCTGCTAATTTCATGGACACAAGTATCCCATTTTCTTGGTGAATAATAAGAACCTAGTTTATTACTGGCTTGTTTGTGGCTGTTTTTGATATTTTCTAGCACAGTTTACATCTCTGAAATTTTCTGGTGGTATTCTGTCCATGAATTGATGAAGCCTGACCCTTCTTAGCTTTTTGAGATAAACCTGACTTTCTTATCTGGTAAAATAATTCTGGCTGGCTTTAATAGATTATCGAAAGGAATAGCAAAACTAAGTCTGTAGATTCATAGGATGACGTGGGTGGTTAAATGACTCCCTTCCCCTAATTTTTACACAGAGAATGCAAGGTGGGCTCAGAGATACACAGTCACCAAGGATCACTGTTTCTTTTTAAAGGCTCTCATTTGGGTTTGAAAGGGGATCATATTTGCTGGGATGAAAGGCACAGATTGGTGGTGACTCATTTCTTACAGTTTGTTTTCACACATTCAAATGAGCCAATTTATGTGCTGATAGCTGTTATTGACAGTTATTTAAAGATGTGTGTATTCCACCTTCTAATCTCTCTAGATTCAATCCCCATCCATCCCTACACACACAAAAATAAACACTGCAGTGTGAAACCAAAGTAGGGTTTGGGGCCCGCACAAAACAACCTGTATTTTATGGATGCATGAACTGAGTATGCATGTTCATTTTCCAGGAAAAACCGTTGATCACAACAGTAAGTTAAATTTGACTGATTTGGGGATTTTGCCTGGAGGGAAAAAAACACACACATGCAGTACTAGTTGTAATAATATTTTCTCTATGGAACAGCTTCTAAAAACAAAATTCTCAAATCAAAAACATAAGCAGTTGCAAAATGAGGGAAAAGAAAAGAAAAAATGGAGGAATGCAGAGCAGTAATTGTGTTATTACAAAATAATTGTACTTATTTCCACTTGAAAGAAAAATATATTTACTCCTAACTGGATGTACTTAGGGTTTATAGTAAGGTAAAAATTGGGAACCTTTGCCCTCACCATGACTAATGGCAAGAGATGCTAGCAATTATAATTCAGCAACATTTGGAGAGCTTCCATATGATTACTGTATCTTTTATTACTAAACAGGTTCAAATTTGCCCTTATTCAACACATTCATGTGATTTTCTTGATGACAGAAAACCATATCCCAAATTAAATTAATTACCACCATTCCTAAAAAGATACTTTAGATGGGCATTCCAGCACAGAAGGATAGGAGCAGTTTCAGATACAAAATCAATTGAACAAAGCAGAAATCAAACACTGCAGTTTCTTTGGGCTTACTGTTTAATAGCTCTATGTAGATTTACTTTCTCATCAAAACCTTATAGGGTGAGGTCACACAGGCTTTCAAATTAAAGAATATTTGAACAAGATGACAACTTGTTCTGTTTTCTTTTTATTTTTTAAACTCTTACTGTTTGAACACATTCGTCACTATGACTGTACAGTACAACACATGGTCACTAAATTACACTAAATACGTATTACATTTTAAGAGTTTTAAAAAATGAACACCTAAAGTTGCAACAATGGGAAAAGAATTACTGTATATGTATTACACATCAAAATTTTGCAATTTGTAAAACACACACACAATTTCATCGCATACAGTAATGATGTTGGCAATGGGTGGGTGACCTGGAGCAAGGTCCTCAAGCTGCTACAAAAGTGATGTGGCTTTAATGTTACAGGAGAATAAATTGATTTTCTAAACGTGAAATTGAAAAGCAAAAGAAATCGTCTATGTGATGGTTTACATGGAATAAGTGAAAAAAAAACAATGTGTAGAAATAGCTTGGTGGATGATGAATTCTGTGGAAAAGCAGCAAAACATCTTTTATTTGTATGTTTTCTTAGCACTGGAAGATACATGTAAAATGAATATATTACCCTTAATCAAGATTATGCCATTTTTTTAAAGGAAAGAGTTGCCAAGGTAGTTCATAAATGTTAAATTATACATTTAAATGATCTGTGTATTTTGACTTCTTTTGACTTATATTTTTCTTATGACTGGTGGAGGCTGGCCATAAGCGAGTTGTAATCATGGGTGCTGAAAAGTAGCTGCTAATCATTTATTCACATTTCTGAGATTTTAATTAAACATCACTGATTTGTATGTGCCAAGACTGAGCACTTGCTTTAGGAAGGAAAGTACAAAAGCTGAACCCTGTGCTCAGTGCCATTTTTTGTTTTGTTGTTCGACAAAATTGCGGTGTTATGTGCATGTGCTTGTCCATGTTATACTGCTTTTCAGTGCAGATCCTTTTCTTTATTCTCAGAAACTCTGGCCAAAAGCCAGTTTGCTCCAGTGGCTGAGGCACCAGGCTAGAAAGCAAGAGAACATGAGTTCAAGTTCAATTTTAGCCATGAAAGTCAGCTGGGTCGCTTTGGGCCAGTCACTCTCTCTCAGTCCAACTCACCTCACAGGTGAATGGTTGTGGTGAAAATGGGATACGTTCGCCACTTGAGTTATTTGGAAAAATAATAAAGGAGAGATAGAAAATAAATAAAAAGGGAAGAGGTTTGGAATGCTGGGATAAGTAGTTTGGTAACCTCTAGATCAGGGGTAGGCAACCTTGGCTTTTATGACTCGTGGACTTCAACTCCCAGAATTCCTGAGCCAGCCATGCTGAGGGGAAAGGGAGAGGTTTCCAAGCTGAGCCATGCTGGTTCAGGAATTCTGGGAGTTGAAGTCCACGAGTCATAAAAGAGCCAAGGTTACCTACCCCTGCTCTAGATTATAAAATCCAATGTGAATTTTGGATCTTGTACAGCAAGAATGCTGTACAAAATCCAAAATTCAAGATAGATTTTATAATCCAGGTTAAGATTATAAATCTGACTTCACTTGGCATACTAGGTGTCATTTTAATTTACCATACCTTTGAAAGAATATTGTGGAGGTAAAGGGGGAGAAGGGAAAGTAAAACTAAACGATCAAGAGCAACATTCTAATGAAAAACAAAATATTACAGTGTTTGGAGCTTTTTAGGTCAGAAAAATATATTGGGGGGGGGGTGAGTGGATAGGAAAAGTGTATAAAATTAAGCATGCTGTGAAATAAAGTAGAAAGTAAGAGAGCATATTACCCTATTTTGTAATACAATCATTTATTTGTATCCCTCCCTGATACAGCTGACAAAGTGAAGAGCCTGTGGCCTAGAGGTAAATACAGCTGCCTAACATGCACACAGCCCAGGCTCGAATCTCAGAAGGGTAAGTGTGGCTGAAGAGAGTTAAGAAACTCAAAATAG